TTGCTTTAGCTTAAATACTTAGAAAAAAAGCATGGCAATATTATTCCTCAAAATTAGTGTAGCCACTGCTTATTTTCACTCATAGCATAGAGTAATCCTTGAATTTTTCTAGTCAAGTAGCATCTGTTAAGAAAATATAGCTGTTTTAGTCTTGGGTGTTTTTTTTTTGACATTGAGGAAAATAAACAGAAGAAAGATAAAAATATTTTATTTTACATTATGCTTTATGACATTTTTATGTGGTATCTTCTCAAAACTTCCCAACAATGGGGAAAGCTACAGTCTAGAATTGATATTATTCTCATTTGTGAGGGGAAAAGGTTTCTTGGCATGAGCGAAATCTCACAACTGAGAAGAGGGTGTGGAAAGGATGACTTAAAGATTTAGTTGGCAACAGACAGTTACAGGATTTAGCAACCCTTTGAATGCAGGCCCCTAGGATAAAGAGTCGAAGATAACTGTGAATCTGAGCCAGGGTTGCTGGTATATATGGTGATTTTATAACCTACAGAGGAAAGTGAGGAAGAACAGCTGGTTTGAGATAGAAGATTCATTTTAAACATGTTGATTTTAAAGTGCTAATGTTGCATCCAGGTTATGTCACAAAATACCCAAAGCCAGACTGGAGGGCAGAGAAGAGCTAGCAAGTTCTCTAGATAAAAAAGATTCAGGAGGCGTTGCATGGGTTGCTCATTTTCATATCACATGCCCTTATTTTTTCCTTTATCTGCTCCTATTGTCTTCCCTACAATGTAGTGACCATAACAAATTTGAGTAGAATTTTGTTTAGTGTAAAGAGTATGGTAGCCATAGAAGAGAACATTGACTTGAAAGAATCAATATTTATAAGGAAGGAGTTGCAAGGGACATCTAGGAAACATAAAAGTAAATAATCAAAGAATTTAGTGGGTTGAGTGGTAAAGTGTTATGGAAGCTCAGCAACTCAGGAGGCTGAGGCAGGAGAATCGCTTGAGCCCAGGAGGCAGAGATTGCAGTAAGCCGAGATCGTGCCATTGCACTGCAGCCTGGGCAACAAGAGTGAAACTGTTTCAAAAAAAAAAAAAAGGAAAAAAAGAAAAGAAAAGGAAGCCCAACAAGGAGAGAGTTGCCCAGAAGGAGGTAGATTTGACTTGTGCAAAGAGGTAAGAAAGCTGAGGATTACATAGGGAGAATCTCAGCTGTGATCTAAAGACTGTGTTTACATAAAAAGCAAAAAGTAGAATGGTGGTTCCTAGACCTGGGGGCAGGGAGAAGTAGGAGTTGCTGTTCAATGGGAGTAAAATTTCAGTTATGCAAAATGAAAAAGTCCTAGCTCTTCTGTACAACATCGTGCATATAGTTAACAATACTGGGGTTGTACACTTAATTTAAAAGGGTAAACCTTGAATGTTATTTATTTATGTATTTATTACCACAAGAAAGAGAAAGAAGGAAGGAAAGTGAGCATGCCCTTGATACTTTTCTGGGGACTGTAATGTAAGCAGAAATTGTGACAAGGGTCCTTGGAACTGGCTGTTAATTTTTTCTCTTCCTAATTTGCCCAAATAGGATGAATAGGTTGATTGGTTGAGAGCATTTCTGCAATTACACTAAAATGCTTGGTTCTAAGATTGAGTAGATGTGACCATCAAATGAATAACTGCAGAGCAGTCATTTAACATTTCAGAAACGTATAAAAATGTCTGAAAATGCAATTTTAAAAAAGCAAAACCAAACGAGTCCAGAGCAGCACTGTCCAATAGAACTCTCTATAGTGGAAGATGGAAATGTCTGCACTGTCCTGTAGAGTACACATGGCCCTGTGTGGCTGCTGAGCACCTGAAATGTGGTTAACGTGACTGAGAAATTGTGTTTTTAAATTTATTTAATTTTAATTCATTTAAATTTAGCCATATGTGACTGATGCCTACCATGTTGGGGAACGTAGGTCTAGAAACTTCAGGAAAACTAGTATGAGTGAAGTAGGAACTTGGTCCTTGGACATTTGGGATTTGAAAGAAAGGCAGAGGAAAGGCATTATAATTTGACCGGAACTCTAGCTTATGGTCTTATCTTTAAAAAAAAAAAAAATCAATCTTTTGGATATAGTCCTGTCCTATTTTTTTGTATTTGATCTTACTGACTTCAAAAGCATGCAGAGATAGAAAAGTGGGTGGAAACAAATTTTCAGAATGAAATGTGTTTAGAGTAGAATTTATGAACTGCTTTGATCATTTTTAAAGTTGTTTTTCACCTTCCTGTGAATAGACAGAGCAGCCAACTGAGACAATACAGTAGTAGAGTCCTTGCCAGAAAAGATTCTCCTTATGCAGAAACTAGGCTGATCATTTCGAAAATGGCAACATTAAAAAATATAATTGAGGAAGAATACATGATGGTAAAACTTAAAAATTGTGTTAGTTTTCTTTTATGTTTGGTATATAAACAAATATTTTAGGTCAGGCCATATTTTATCTCTCCTGGACTATTACCAGAGCTTCCCAGCTGGGATTTTTCCCTCTCAGGCCCAGGAGCTACATCACCCTCAACACTATTAAAAACAGATCTGATCACATCTCTGCTTAAGAACTTTTTACTACAAATAAGCATACAATAAAAAGCTTCAAACATGTTTTTGGATGCTGCTTTTTACTTTTGAAATTAGTGAGTTAAGTGGACATTTTCTCAGCTGATGAAAATAAAATTGGTAAGACATTTTTGTTAGTTTAGCATATTGGCAGTAAGCAACAAGAAGTTTAAAGGTATTTATAACCCAAACCATAGTAAGTCCACTTCTGGGAATCTTCTGAAAGAAACTATCGTAAACACCACAAAATATGTCTCAACTGTCTTTATATGAAGGTGTTCATCACAGGGTTGCTTATAATAGTGAAAACTGCATATAACTAAAATGTTCAACAGTAGGAAAATGACTAAGTAAATAATTGCTAAAATGATGTCTTCTTTCATCACTTTTTATATGCACCTGCTATGGTATATGTCATATGTCGTATAGTTGGTTGTATGCATTCTGCCAGTCTAATTCTTATTTGTGTCCTCACTGTGCCTAGCACATTGTTAATGCTCAATTAATGTTTGCTAAATAAATGAAAAAAATCAATGTTGACACAAATGAAATTGAGTTTAAGTTGCTTCTTTTCAATTGCTAAACACTTAAGAGATGTTATATTCATTTAAGTGCAGTATCTTTTAGTTCCATTTATAATGAAAATGTTTTTGCAGATTTAAATCTCTCCTGTTCTGGAAAATATTTAAAATAATAATATAAAACATTTAAAGTTAAATTTAGTTACTAACTATATCAAATTATGATTTTATCAACAAATTTAATAAATCATTCTTTGTTTCCAATATCCCATTGTCCATCTTAACATAAAAGAGTTTATATTTTGCTCCCGCTACATGTTCTCCAAATTTTGTCCTTTTTATTATTTAAAGATACCGACATCTCCCTGTTGAAATTTTTTTCCTCAAACCTCGTAATCGTAATTTTTCCTCATAATCAGTTTTTCAGCTGCTTTGTTCATTTGAAATGACTAGTTGTCCAGAAAATTGCTTTTCACATACTACTTCATTAAGTTTTTTGTTGTGATGGTTTTGTGAGATGAGGTCTCACTCTGTCACCCGGGCTGGAGTGCAGTGGTGTGATCGTAGCTTACTTTAACCGTGTAGTTCATTGAGTTATAGAGACAGTGTTCGAAAATTTTTTTTGTCTGTATCTTATGGAGGCTAGCAAAAGAAGAAACTTGTTATTTTCCTTTAAACTCTTTCTGGTTAAGTCTAGATTTGGTTGACATAGACAAGAAATACCAATATTGGAATTCTGACTTCATCCTTTTAACATGCAGTCCTCCAGTGTACTTGACCAGGAGACTGAGGCCTTTGTCATCATTTTGTAAATATAACCTAGATGCCTACTTATTTCTGAAACTGTACCAGGTTAAGAGTATTATTGTTTAATGTATTTATTTCAACAGGACCCCCAAAATTGATGAAGATTGTGTGCAAAGCTCATGAGGGCAGAGAGCATATCTGTTTTCCTCACCCTGTATCCTCAAAGTCTATCACAGTATCTGATTAGGCTCTCAAAAAAATCATGTTAAATGCCTGACTGCCTGCTTTCACCAATTTGTCTTGTAACTGCTTCCTAATGAAGTAAAGGATTTAAGAGATTTAAATAACTATTTTGTGTTTGATAGGCTGTTTGATTGTAAGGATCAAAAAAGACTCAGGTTACCTAGTAATGGGGGGAGAAAAGGAGGGAGAGAAGAAGGACCCTATTCTCTGATTCAAATTTTTATGACTTATATCACACTTAAATGAGGATACTAAAATATTTTTCAATTTTAAAAAGTTAACAAATTTTTAAAAACTTAAAATCAGTATTCAGGCATACCATTGGCAGTCTATCAGTTGTTAATACTACCAGTAGAATAGCAAGTGGAACAATAAGAATTACTATGTTCTTCATTCCTTATATTGAACTAACCTTTCTTTTTCTAATTTTTACATTTTTCTTAAAGTTTCAAAACTTCATGTTAGATATGCTGATTGCTATTTTAGGGGAAAAAAACGGATTAGGTAATTGCTTTGGAGAGTTGTTAGGTAATCCTCTTTGGATTTAACCTTTTCTTTAGTTTTCAAATTGATGTCTAACAGTGTACTACTATAAAACACTATTTTATTATGGAGGTTAATGGTTTTCAGGCATGTCAAATATGGGCTTAAAGTCTATGGTGTAGACTATGACTAAGGGATATGACATTTTGAGGAGGCTGTGCTGCACTTAGCACTGTGGTAGGCATTTGCCCCATTATCTCATCCTTGCAGTGGCCCTATGGGTTTTCTTTGATCAGAGACCCAACACTTATTCTGGTCTCACATAATTTTATTTAATTATTTATTCTATTTATTTTTGGTACCTTAGCAATAAATGTGTACAAATTTAACATTTCTTAGACAGTCATCATTAATAGATAAAACTTTTCTTTTAAAAATAGGATAAAAGAATCAGAGTATCTCAACCCTTGACAAGAGGACCAAGTGCCTTTATTCCAGAGAAGGAAGTAAGTTTATCTGTCTTAAAATATAAAGTATGATTTTAAAATAACTTAATTGTATCAAAGAATATCTCTTTTTAATATGGAAGTAGGAATGAATTTTTTTCTTGAGTTTCTTATTCCATGTCAGAAAACCATAGAGATACTTTCTTTTCAGCTTCACAAATATTTACAGAGCACTGATTATGTGCCAAGCATTGTCTTAAAGAAGGGACTAATAGAAATAGAATAATGCCAGATCATTGCCAGAGTCAACAGTTCTTTCATCATCAGATCACCTTTTTAGTGACCTTCCCACCTAAGTGCAAATCCAAAGTGACAGTAACATTTCGGGAGCTCAGTGACAGTAGCTGATCTGGGTGAGGACCATGCACTGGAGAAGCTGCCCTGCTTATGCCTATTTTCCTCAGATAGCTTTATATGTATATGCCTACTACATATAAAGACTTCCTGAAGCACAGTCATTTTTCACAGTATATATTGGAGGATAATCTGGTTTTTAGGATCTATTGCATCATATGAATCTATTAATATATCTTAGGCATCCAGTTAGAAGAAACTTCTGCTGGGGAAAGCAAAACAAAAATAACAAATATTCTATTTCTAATTATATGTGGTTCATCTGGATCCCATTATATTTGTAACTATCTTGGTCCCTGTAGTTGACAAAATGGTGGGGAAGTGAGCAAATCAAAATATACTTGACTCCATAATGAGTTGCACCATTGTAATTAGCATTTCCTCACAATTTATACTTTTCAAACATTGTATTTCCTTTGGGGTTAAATTTCCCTAAGTCAATAGTGCCTTTGTATAATGCGTACTTATTTTTCAGACTGTGAAGCCAGCTCTGAAGAGTAAACAGTTTCTTAATAGCAGTGTGGATGTTTGGAAAGACTGTTAGTCTGGACGTTAGGGAATCTGGATTCTAGACCAGACTCTGCTATTAATAAAGTGCATGAGCTTGAATTTAATCTTAATTCTGTTTCCTCATCTCTAAAATAAGTCTAGAACTCCAATTCTGAAATACAAATAAACAATGAACCACTCCTAGAATTATGCAACTCATGTCCATTAACTCCAACAGTGTTGAGTCTTTCTACAAGGTGCTAATAAACTCTTAACACCTTCAGAGCCAGTTCTTGGTGTGATGCCCAAACTGTCGTTGTGTTTGAAGCTATATATAAATAATCTATTTTTGAGACAACTCTTTTGATTTCCTAGGATGAAGAATGTCCATTTTAATAACTTGCCTTGTTTTTAGTAATTATTATTATTAGGCTCAAAATAGGACAGTATTCTAGTGTCCTCATTAATTTTTCAATTAACACTTTCCTACAAATTATTATATATTCCTTTGTCCCTGAAAAGACTTCAGAAAGCTTTTTTTATGTTGAATCACAAAAGCAAGCAAAGGATTAGACTGAAAATATTTGTCTAAAAATGATGTGCTTATCTTCATAGGCTAATAAATGAAATTATAAATGTATGTAATCAGATGCTGCTGCTTGTGCTTTACCACACATTGGTGTGACAATGGCCAGGCAAATGGGCCCTGAAAAATCTGCCTAATATGCCTAGCAAAACAGATGGAAGCTTCTTTTCTTCATTTTCGTAGCTGTGTGTATAATGTTTGATAATTTAACATTTGTTGTTTAATAAATTGTGGTACCAGAGCCAAAAATGACTAGTGCTTTCTTTTTTTATTTCTGTTTCCAGTATGAGCAACTGCATAATTTTGTGTCTGTTAATATCAAATGAATATTCATTTGCTTCAATAGTGGCATAATTTATGTAAACCAAGGGTGTATTTATGGCTCAATAGTCATTTTGTTTTGTGTTTCTTGGTTATAAGGTTGTCCAAGCAAACACAGTGGATGAACGTACTAACTTTCTTGTGGAAGAATACTCTACATCCGGTCGTCTGGACAACATCACACAGGTCATGAGTTTGCACACTCAGTACCTGGAGTCTTTCTTGCGGAGCCAGTTTTACATGTTGCGCATGGATGGTCCCCTTCCTCTACCATACAGGCACTATATTGCAATAATGGTGGGTACTTATTTTCCTATATTCACATAACACCTTCCTCACTTATTCTTTCTCCCTTCCAAAATAGGTGTGTGTGCATGTGTATGTATAGATCTAAGTATAATTTATGAACATAAGAATTGAAGAAGCCTATGGCCTTTTGGATACCAAGTTTCTTGGATATGTTTGGAATATGTTAAGCCACTTAATGCACTGAATGTTTCTCATTTAATTTTCAGTAAAATCATTTTTCATATTTAATCTCTTACAAATAAAGATGCTTATAGCATGCAAAGTAATACCCCACAAGTTTTGTCTTTGCTCTTAATATCTTGTTTTTATAAAAACACAAGTTGTTTGTGACATTTTTCTTAGTAATTTTATACATAAAGAATATCACTAATTTGGCCAAGTAAGAGGAAAGTATCAGTCAGCATTCATGGAGAATCTGAACGAGAGAAGAATTCTTGAGTTGAATTATTATAACACTTCTAAGTATAGTTCTGATTACAAACTGGTTAACTAGTTATTCACAGGCAATAGAGGTCAGGGAGGAGAACTATAAAGTTGTGTGTGTGTTGGACTTTAATGGAGAAAAAGAACAACAAGAACATGATGAAAATGCTATATATGTGGAGAAGTTGGGGAAGAAACCGGGCTGACAGGGCTGGCATAACTAGCCAGAAGTTAGCAGATTAAGTTTGACCACATTTGATTTGATTGTCTTTTTTATAGTCTCACTGAACTTTTAACAACAACAAAAAGCAACATTCCGTGTTTTATTGAATGATGAACCTCAATGAGGCTGTAATTTTAGCTTAAGGTTTTGATGACAGTAAGGCTGAAAGCAGACTTAGAATGCTTGTAAAATACGGACAAATAAGATGTAGAGAATAGAAAGAATAAAATAGTACTGTTTTACTGAGAAGCAGCCCTGAGGAAAAAAGAGGTCAATTGAGGGCTGATTCTGACTGCATAGGAAGAAAAGGGTCAGTGAGCTTCCATGTCATCTGAGTAGGAAGATGTGTACAAATATGACTGAAGTCACATTTATCTTAAAGAGGATAAGAGAAGTAATCAAATTAGGATGAATCCTGAGTTATTAGAATATAAGTTAATGACATTTTATTATGTTTTAAGTAGAATGTGGTAGGTATATTTGTGATACTGAAATGGACCTGTATTTCCTATTCATAGCTAGAAAGTGGCTTAAGGTATACCAACTTCCAGACAAGGAAATAATTGGCTTCAGGTGATATTATTTGCTTATACAAGTAATCAGCTTCATGTATTGAATCTATTACATCATTATGACGGATGTTTTAGAAAAGAGATTCTGTAAGAAAAGAGGTACTGGCTATAAAAATCATTAGCTCCATCTGAATTATTTGTTTAGAAATAGTGGAATGAAACTCTACTGTGATTCTTTTATCAATGAATTTTTTTCTTTGTGCTTCAGGCTGCAGCTAGACATCAGTGTTCTTACTTAATAAACATGCATGTGGATGAATTTTTAAAGACTGGAGGTATTGCTGAGTGGTTGAATGGTTTGGAATATGTGCCACAAAGACTGAAAAATCTTAATGAAATTAATAAGCTGCTAGCACACCGACCTTGGCTGATCACAAAAGAGCACATTCAGGTACTGAGTGTTTCTTTGAAATAAAAAGGAATTTACTTAGGACTTAATTTTAAATAAGTGTATATTAGGAACTTGGAACATAAATAATAGTGTCCTAATATGTGTAGAAAAGATAAGTTTAGAAAGTCAGTGGGTTTAATTTAAGGACAAATGAATACTTCTCCTCTTTAAGTAATCATTAATTATCTTGTACAAATACTTTGGTGAATGGCTATGAGAAAATTTCGTTTCTATTTTTAAGTAGTAGATAGACTGAAGAAAATACACTAGCATGATAGGATGCCTCGGATCTAGTCTGTACTCTGTTACAAGTTTGTGTCCTTTTAGTAAATTAACTTCTATGGGTCTCAATTCTCTCCTCTACAGAATGAGGGAGCTAGATTAAATGAGTTTTAAACTTTTTTATAGTTCTAACATTTCATAAGTTTTAGATTCTCAAAAAATGATTTTGCAAATAAAAAAGTGATTTGCCAGCTGGTGTGTGAATGCTTAAATGCCTTTTAAAACTAGAGCTTAGACGAGAAATAGAGTTGTCGTGATTATCTAAGAGCACTTGTCTTTCTTAAGGTGCTTCCATTGAGGCCTACAGGGTGAGGTCATTATTCAATATGCTTAGCACTATTTTTGGCACATGGTAACTATTCAATAGATAGGAACTATCATCTAAATTATCAGTGGAAATCTTTGTTACTTAAAATATCTGTTCCTAATGCATAGAAATGTCCTTGGTTTTTGGATCCTCTTGTTAGGCTACATTTTTGTTATTTGTCCTTTCAACCAATCATAGTGTTTATCAATCTGCATACTCTCAGATTTCGATGAAGTATCTGGGAAACTGTGAAGCACGATGCTGCCTTTAGATTTATGTTCTGATTTGATAATATGATAGCTAGATAGGGGAATTAATCATTGTTTTTAATGTCATGTCTTAATTACTTTGTGCCAGATACTTCGGTGGGTAAAGATAAAGACCCTGCCCATAGATTTGCTTGGAGTCTAGGGTAGAAGAAGAACAGGGTAATAACAGTAATCACAGCACAACAGTGTATGAATGTATGAATAAAGAGAATAGAACCAGAAAGTTTCTTTTCTGAAAGAGGTAACATTTGAGCTAGGTCTTGAAGAAGAAGTGAGAGTTCTCAAGTAGAGCAGAGCATTTCAAAGAAAGAATAGAGTATTTAATATTATGGTATACTGGAAGAATAGCCAGCAGTTTCAGATGATTGAAGGGTAGCGATGTTTATGTAAGGTGGGAACTGGGAAGAATTGAGATCATATTGTATGACCCAGTGAATACTGTATTAAAGGATTTGTATTTTATTCTCAGAAAGTTATGGTCTTCAGGGTTATGTTATAGTACTCAGGAGGTACACAAGAAAAATTTCCAAAATATTAACAAAATATTTGTGTATGTGTGTATATTCTTATCTCATTCTTCTAAATTTTTGTATTTGTGTATTTTATGTTATTACGGTACACATATATATTCTATATAAAATATATTTTATGTGTATAAATTCACAAATAAATATACATAATATCTGGGGTTGGACCTTTCCCAGCTGTTACTTTTGGAAGTACATTTGATCACAAGAACTTGGAGATCAACGTGATAGAGAATCGAGAATCATTAAAGGTTTTTGTGCCAAGTTGTAATATAAATACATTAGGTGATTTAGAAGATGAATTACAGATTGTACAGACTGGAAGCAGTAGACCAGTCATAGTACTACACCTGAGAGGTGATTTTTTTTAAAACCATAGGAGAAACATAGGATAAGATTATAGTAATGATTCTGCATGAAAATAAGTAGGACTTTGGTGACTGACAGGATGTGAGGATGGAGAAAGTGGGTGGGACAAGAGAATGACTAAGGTGTCCTTCTTCATGACATGAGCTGACATGAACATATACAGGCTGACAACAACAAATAATGACATCCACAAAGTGATGCCCACTTACTAAAGGAAATACAGATCTGTAACTCAAGATAAAGTGTGAGTTAAAAGTAAAATTGGATAGTTGTTTACAGATAAGCAAAGGTCAGGTTGAAGTAATGAATGGCCCATCCAGGGAGATACTGCCCAAGGAAGGAAGATTGTGGATGGAATACAGCAATAGAGAAAAATCTTTCTCAGGGTAGCAAGTGTACTTCCCTCCCCAAAATGTGGAATTGTTGAAGTCAAGAGAGATTAATGTCAAGAAGGGAGAAAGTGAACAATGTAAAGTCTGCAGAGATCAAATAAAATAAGGACTAAAAAGAAATAGTCAAATTTGGCCATTTGGAAGGTCATGTGTAATCTTAGTAAATGTAGCCTCAGGAGTTTGCTTGAAAAAGAAACCAGATTGTAATGAAATTTTAAAAGTAGAAATGAATGTGAGGCAAGAAATTAGAGATAGTGAGTGTTGGCTGTCCTTACAGGTTTAATGATAATCCTGCAAAGATTAGTGAAGGCATTGTAAATTGTAACAATCCTTTTGCAAAGCTCTTTGGCAGTCTTATTGAAAGTCATAAAAATATTAATACTCTTTGTTCTAAAAATCCCATTAGGAAATGTTTCTAAAATAAGAACAAAACTATAGTATGAAGATGCTGCTTATAGAAGCAAATAAACAAAACAAATTTAGAATATGAATAATGGTATAAGAAAGGAGTAGTTATATATATCCATTGATATACAGGAGAGGCCTTGCTTAAAAATTAATATGACACTGTGGCCTCATGAAAAATGAACCTGTCAAAATGTCTGAAAATCACAAAAATATAGGTATATGTGGTTATAACTATATAATTGCTTGCTTATAAAAAATAAAAGAAAATATGTAAAAGAGTGGTAGAATTTTTTTCAGTCTATATTGCAACCATTTAGTATATTTTGTGGCTACAAGGTTAGGTGCATACAGATGTAAAGCAAGTATATTTTTCTGGTGTACATTCTTTTATCATTAATTAATGACCCTCTTTATTTACATTATTGCAGATTGTAATAATGATATTTTTGTCTTAAGGTCACTTTTTAAATTTTATTTTTTAATTAACAAATAATTGTACATATCCATTGGGTACATAGTGATATTCTGATAATATATAATGTACAATGATCAGATTAATTAGGATACCCATATCTCAAACATTTATTATTTCTTTGTTTTGAGAATATTCAATATCCTCCTCCTAGCTATTTGAAACTGTATGTTATTGTTAACTATAGTCATCCTACAGTGGTATAGAACACTAGAATTTATTCCTTCTATCTAGCTGTAATTTTGTTCTTTAACAGATCTTTCCCTATCTCCCCCCACCATAGGATGATAGAATTTGACTGATTTTCTTTTCTTTTCCCTGAGCTTTTGGTAATATATTAAATTGTATATGGTGTGTAGTTAAATAGTGGGGAGTAAAGCAACATAAAGCAGTTTTTTTGTTTGTTTGTTTGTTTTTGGTTTAGCCATTAAGTAAGCCAAATGAAAGTTCTAGATTTGGAAGGAGAGAAAAAGAGGGATGAGATTCCCCCTCACACACACCTCTCTCACACACACACACAGAGAGAGAGAGAGAGAGAAAGGGAGAGAAAATGAACACCGATGGGAAAGAATGCCTGATGGATTAATTGGTGGAATTCACTCTTGGACAAAGTGGAGGAATTACTGATTTTAATGACTTCATTTGTGATCCCATCATTCAGCTGGAGGGTCAAGTGAAATATGAAAAAGTGCTTGGAAATTTTAAAAATTCTTATTCAAATGTGATGTATTATTCTACAATTTCTGTCATCTGCTGCAGGGTCTTTCTCCATTAGAGGGTATCTAAAGGATAACTGAAACTTGACTTGTTGAATTGGGGTTTTTCGTGATTTTGTGAGATGAAGTTTCCAATACACCTTAAAATGAATGGTTTTGTTCAGTAATCTTTAAAGTCCTATCAAGCTCCAGTGTTCTTTGATTCTCTGAAAGTATTTCATTAAAATAGCATACTATATTAAAAATACTTTGGAAGCAGAAGATCTATTGTATAATAAGAGATTTAGAAGACACTACAATGTAATTACATTGTTAGGTATGATAGTTTTAATGGAGCATTGGCCAAAATCATATTTTTAACATGTGAAACATTTTTTAAAGAGAGTTTTAAGTTTTGTTACTCTAAATGGATATATGAAAATTGGTAGATTTTCATTGAAATTGCTTTGTAGCATTCTAGAATTTTTATATTTGCTCTGATTTGCTTTCTCATTTCAGAAACTTGTCAAAACTGGAGAAAATAATTGGTCTCTGCCTGAACTGGTACATGCTGTGGTCCTACTGGCACATTATCATGCTTTGGCAAGCTTTGTTTTTGGTAGTGGTATCAATCCAGAGAGAGATCCAGAAATCTCCAATGGATTCACGCTAATATCAGTCAACAATTTCTGCGTTTGTGATCTTGCTAATGACAACAACATAGAGAATGCATCTCTTTCAGGCGGCAACTTTGGGGTTAGTTTTCTTAGCTATTTTTCTTTACTTTTTTGCTTTGAACTTCTAATATTAAAAATATCTAGAGAGAATTTTTCTCCAATTAGATAGGATATTATATACTTAAAATATTTTTGCATAATTTTTATTACTGTAAAAATTTGGTACCTGAAGTTCTGATTTATTTTAAAGAGGCTTTTAAAGCAAATTCATATTACTGCAAATCATGAAGACTCAACAGTGATGCATTCTAGTGATCATAGGCTTTTAATGTTAGACCCTTTGGACAGTAGATCCCAAAACAATATACTTGTATGTATAAGATGCTGGAACAACCAATGGAAAACATATCGGACAGCAAAAAGTAAAACAATTGTGTTCCCTCATTTTTTAAGCTAAACTGTAATATTTAATGTATACCAAATGCTGGAATTCTAGATTTTATATACACACACAAACACACACACACATATATACTTAGAAACTTTTATATTTATAACTGAAAAAAAATCATACTTCTGAAAATGTTGGAATCTGTCATGATTTCCTTTGAAATTCGTGAAAAACCGACTTAAGAACTTCATAACTGTGCCTGTGCCACTGTACATAGTAAGGTGACATTGGGATATGGAGATATTTACTAGAACACGTTTAGTATGAATAGCACCCAACATTATCTTATCTGGTTCCAGATTGTGGATTCTCTAAGTGAGCTAGAGGCCTTAATGGAAAGGATGAAAAGACTTCAAGAAGAAAGGGAAGATGAAGAGGCGTCTCAGGAAGAAATGAGCACTCGTTTTGAAAAGGAGAAGAAAGAAAGTCTTTTTGTGGTCTCTGGAGATACTTTTCATTCATTTCCTCATTCAGGTGCTTTTTTGTACTTTTTGCCTTTTAGTTGTTCTTAGAACCCTGACAGAGCAACTTCAGTGTTTTCCATATGGATATGTAAAAATGATTCTGCTATCCTCTTTCTCTTATTTAGTTCTCCTCTTCTATCTTACCGTCATGCTATTGCTTTCCCTCAGGCTGGTTCATCCTTGAATGTATTTCAGATTGAGTTGAGAGAACCTTTCAGCTTTGTAGTTCATACTCTATCCTGGATAAAATGTTACTTAAAGCAGATCAGTTGCTTGTAAAGTTAGATAGGCATATTTAATTTATCCTACTTTTGTGATTTTTTTAAAATGATAAGTGAAATATTATTTCAATAGTTAAAATTTTTTTAAAAACTTTGCCTTTTTTGTGGGTGGGTGTGTGGGAAGATTATTCTCACACTGCTGCTTTTCCAGATTAGTTCTAAAATTACACTGCACTTGCATTTACATTTCTTTGGAATTCTATAAAAATGTATTATTTAGGTCATTTTCTTTGATTGAATTTGGAGGAATTCATCCTGTGTAAAAGCTGAGATTCTTTGCTGTAGTCTTGAAAACAGTTTATCTAACACTCGAAGAGCCTGAAATAGGAGGGAAACTCTTCAATTACAACTAAAAAGATATTGAGCACCACATAGTAAATGCTATTAAAATAGCATAGACTCAATACAAAGCTTAAACCCTTTAAAAGTAATTCATCTGCATAACTTTTTTTTTTTTTTTTTTTTTTTTTTTTGAGACTGAGTCTCGCTCTTTCACCCAAACTGGAGTTCGGTGGTGTTATCTTGGTTCACTGCAACCTCTGCCTCCAGGGTTCAAGCAGTTCTCTTGCCTCAGCCTCCTGAGTAGCTGGGATCACACATAACATAACATATTTTTAAAAAATAGAGTTCTGTTGATCTAAAAGAGACCTTCAAAACTACTGCCTGTCTTAAAACTCATCAATCTCATAAATTTTGAGAATTGTTTCAGCCGTAACTTGTTAAACATAAAATATTGATCAGTAGTTCTGTTTTACCAGGAAGAACAAGAACCCTTTCTATCATTTCTCCTGATGATCTTTTTTATGAAAAATTGTATCTACCAAATTGATTAACCATTTTAGTCCTTTCAATTAATTTAATCCATTAAAGATTACTGTCACTAAAATCAGAGCCTGTAGTCAGCAGGAAATCCCAAACAAAGAAACCTAGTGTTTGGGCTATTGGTTTAATATTCACTCTGCAAACACTTATTGAGTACCCCATAGAGTTTCAGCATGATGTTAGGTACTAAGGTTTTAAGGCTAAATAAGATGTGATTCCTGCTCTCAGGGCACTCTCATTCTAGTAGCAAAAAAATAATTGTAACGCATAGCAGAATGTGAAAGATACGAGCCTAGAAGAGGGCACTGAACCCAGTCTTGATAGGCAAACGGTGTTGGCAGAAAAGGAACCTAGAGGAAGAATGCCTGCAACCCTTGGCTCTAGAATAAGTCTTAACACAGTTGAGTGTGAGGAAGTCAGGTAATGACTGAGGGGCACAGGAGGACCTGGTAAACGGCATCCAGGCCCGAGCAAAGGCACAATGGTAAGGAAACAGGATGCTGGGTCCAGGAACAAGTGGTTCTTTGTTGTTAGGACGTACATCATGAAACAGGTAGTGTAAAGAGAAATCTGGTTAGGTAGGTAGAGGCCCTACTGTAAGGATCTTGCTGACCTTAAGAAATATGTAACCTACCATATTTTGGACATTTTGAGTAGAGATGTCTATAAAACAACCAGTCTGGAAATGTCTTGCACAGTGCTTCTCAAACTTCAGTGTTCGTGAGTCACTTGGGGAATCTTGTTGAGATGCGGAAGTTGAATCAGTCAGTTTAGGGTAGGGCCTGATAGGCTACATTTCTATCAAGCCTCCAAGTAATGCTGGTGCTGCTGGTATGCAAACCACTCTTGGAATACAAAGTGTAGAAGAGATGGGAAATCAGGAGAGGACTTTAAGGTCAAGGTAAAATTTTAGAAGTTACCAGCATATAACTGGGAGCAGAAATTAAAAGTTGGTTATAAAATTCATCCAGCGAGAACAAGTGAGGGTGAAGGAAAATAATGAATATATGATGAACCTTCTAGGTAAACTAATGTCTAAAAATGTAAACATTTTTATTAAAGTTAGTAGTATCTGTGTTTTCAGAAATTAATTTTTAAGAGCTTCATTAAGTAACTAAAGCTTGAAAAATGTCAATGTTTTATTTCTCTTAGGTCTTTTGAAATATTAAAAATATACTTTGGATTTCAGTCTCTACCTTCTTGGAACTTTAAGCCAGGACTACAGCCTTCAAAAGTGAATTTTCACTAGCAAGTCTTGGACCTTAGCCAAAAATTATGTTCTAATTTTAATAGAAGAGGCTATTTTAAGGAAATAATGTCAATATACATACATACACCCCTCCACATACATATATTTTTATATATCTACACACACACATATATATATAAATACATATTTTACTCTTAATCATTGCCAGTACCAAATTTGCTGACTGCACAAAGAAAATATAGAAAAAAGACTCAGTACAATAGCTAATTGAGTCATTTATGTAGACTTACCATGTTTTAAAATAGAAATAAAAAGGTTTTTGGTTTTGTTTTTTTTTTTTTTGGTATAAAAAAAGTCTTGGTTTGACCAGTGTTATAAAGTATTCCAGATTCTATGTAAGGATTCTAAGAATAGTTTTTCAAGTCTTTTGAAGAAAATAAATGTTTAAAGTATTCTACAGGTGTCATATTCTGTAGCTTGGTAACAGGGTTAACTAGCTTTTACTGTTTTTTGTTTTTTCCTTTAGGCATACCATTACTGCAACAGAACGTTTCCTGTATTATGTCAGTAACTACTTCTTAGGGGCAGAATAATGCAGATAATGAACAAAATACTATTTCTTTTGAGTACAGACTTTGAAATATTTGTTTAGATAGAATTAAAACTAGAGTTTTAGATTTAATAAACAGAATGCTAATTTTAACGTCTTAAGATAAATTTAGGAAAAAAGTATTTGTGGATTGAGGGACCTTTGTACATTTCTTTCTGTGAATAAAAAATGTCTAGGAAACAGGTGTTAATTGACTCCTAAGTTAAAAATTAATGCATAGAGATTTTTCCTAGGATCACTTCTCTTATTTGGCTGACTACTTACTTTTTACTTACTTTTTACTGTTTATTTTAAAATGTTTAAAAGTCATACAACTTGAAAATGTGTATCAGCAAAACAAAAAGTAAAGAGCCAACTATGTAATGGTCAACTCCAGTATCAATATTTGCCCAATGAAACTAGTTGGTTGTGCAGTGTCAAAGGAAGAATCGCTTCTAGAGAGACACTGTTTTATAGAGTTTAGTTATTACTTACTATTTTTGGCTTTATTTTACTTTGCAACCCATAAACTTTGCACCCTATAAAACTACTTTTCATAGCAGCCTCAGTGATTGCTACTACATTTTATAATTTTTGCTTCGTTCATATTATTATGTAATGAACTGAATTAAGGAAAGTATAAGCTGGTTTGTAAATGTTAAGAGGTAATTCATTGAAAATGCCATTTAAAAAGTATTTCTGTTGACCTGAATAGAGTGCTGGAGCACAAGGAGAAAATAAAGTAGTTATGGGATCAGGCTGGGAATAAGCCTGAAAATTCTCTTCACAGGACTGAAAAATCACTTAAAAACTTCAGATCAATTTAAGCATTTAATTTTAGAAGTTTTTCACATCATCTTATACTTAAACATCTATGCATTGTATTTCTTGCTGACACAGTACTGACCATGGTATTAGTAAGATACAGTTCATTTATTTCTTAAATGGATATTTCTTTCTGTATTAATGGAACAAAAAATAGATATTAAGTGTGTAGTATAGTACTTGTGTATGGTAAGTACTCAATAAAGACCATCTCTTTTCTTTATATGTAATAAAGAAGTTTGGTAAGAATTTTTATAAGATTTATCCGAAATTGGGTAGCCAGAGCACTTAACCTTTTCTGCCATTATCAAGCACCCAGTTAGTCCACACCAGTGATCTAAAGACAGCTGAAAACTTGTGAGAAAAGAATACTTAGTGTCAGGCTTTTCATGCAATAGCAAAGATTAAAGATAATGAAGTGTTACTACCAGGCCTTTCTTTTGGAAGAATTAACATAATTATACTTGTTTTTTAAGTCTCTCAAAAATTTTCACAGTTAAGAATTATAGTTTGTCTTTTATTATGCCATAATACTGTTTTACTATTATTTATGAAATATGATATTTAATACTAAAATACTTATAATGAAAATATTGTTCCTTTCAGGGAAATAGCTAGGTTGTTCTTTTATTTTGAGAAATATATGTTCATTTTCTAGACTAGAAGCTAGTAAATGAAACTTGTTCATCCCCTTTTAATGGTTAAAACCAGAAAAAATAGTAAAGACAGACCAACCTAAAATAAGAAGTGAGATAGAATTATTTTTGCATAAATTAATATGCATTGGGTATTTAAACTTTTTCAGTGGCAAATTGTTAATGTCATCAAGTATGCAGAAATCAGTTTTCTTAAAATATTATTATTGCCCTGCTATCTTCCTGAATGCCACTTTGGTAATATTCTAGTCACAGTCTCATTAGGACATTGTTTAGTCCATATGTTGCATACTTTTTGTTTTCATATGCATAGAAAAGTGCACATATCTTAGGCATAAAGCTCACTGAATGTTCACAAACTCAGCCCCCCTATTTAGCACTCAAGTGTATTAAGATAATGATAATGGCATCCAAAAGTCTGCTCACCTCCCCACTGAGTGATCCTTCTCCCTATGTGCTTTTTTGCAAACTAAATATAAACTATATTGAACTAATTTTTATTGTGAATACACCCAGGTAAAACACCATGTAATTTTAACAAAGTTTATCTTAAACTCAGAGTGGTCTTTCACCTTCATCTCTTCTTCTTCCTCTCATTCCACTTCATCCCCTGGAGAGATAAAAACAAAACAAAACAAAAAATGGTTAAGCTGCACTTCGGGAGGCCAAGGTGGGTGGATCACGAGGTCAGAAGTTTGAGACCAGCCTGGCCAACATGGCAAAACCCTGTCTCTACTGAAAATACAAAAAATTAGCTGAGCATGGTGGCACGCACCTGTAGTTCCAGCTACTCAGGAGGCTGAGGCAGAAGAATCACTTGAACCCAGGAGGCAGAGAGGTTGCAGTGAGCCGAGATCGCACCACTGCACTCCAACCTGGGTGACAGAGTGAGACTCTGTCTCAAAAAAAAAAAAAAAAAGGTTAAGCTTTATGCTTACAGGCCTGTGCTATCTTCCATTCCTAAATTAGTAAAACTAGCATATTGATCCTTTGCTACTACTGTTTAGATAGTTTAGTCAGTTTACCTGGAAAACTAGTTAAATGGTAAGATTGCCAGTATTTGGTAATGAAATTATATTTAAAGCTTTAGCAGTAGATATTTTATATAAATTTAAGTCACGGAGTCAATGTTTTCACTTTAGAAATCCATGGAAATGCTAAAAAGTGGAAGAAAATGGAGTTCCGTTTTATTGTCTTAACCATGTACAGTATCCTTAACACTAGGTTGTTCATTATTGTCCTTAGATTTTGAGGATGACATGATTATAACATCTGATGTCTCTCGATACATTGAAGACCCTGGTTTTGGTTATGAAGACTTTGCGAGACGAGGAGAAGAGCATTTGCCAACATTCCGAGCTCAGGTATAATAAATATGTCATTAATTCAGAGAAACGAGAAAATACTGTCATTTTAACTGTTATGTGTTGAAATTTTTTAAATTGGCATCTAAAGAATTTTTGATAGGATCTATAAATCTTTGTATCTAACCTAGTTTCACCCTAGTCTAATTGGAGTTCCCAATAGATGTATAATTATTTCAACGTTTTTCTCCCTAAGAAGAGAAAAGGAAACAGTCTGCTTTATTCAGTTACTTCTGTTATTACATGGTATTTGCATAATGTTTATACCATTTTTTTGGAAGGGAACAGAGAGGAAAACAAGTGACATCACTTTTTCTTGGAATAAAATCATACACCAGTAGTCATGGGCTTACGGGCTACTCTAATCTTAACCCCTAGGAAATAGCCACAGCAGTGATGTGACTCCTAAAGAGGGTATGAGATTGAATTATGACAAACTCCTTCATGGTTATTTTAGATGATCTGTTAACTGTCCATGTCACTGGGTAGATTTGTTCACGTAGGAATATTCCAAGATCTCCTGGGGCCCTTCCAGATAAGGGGATAGTGTGCATAGTACCTGAGTGTAGGAGATGACCAGAGTTCATCACTAACATGGCAAATCCCATACCCTTTGAAGAAACATCCAGACACTCTGATCTACTAACTGATGTGAAGGGTTCTTGGTAAAGCCTTAGTAAAGCTACAAACCTAGAACTAAATTAGAAATAGCCTCACTTACTTGCTTCATTAGTTATATTTAATAAATACGTAGAATTTACATGGAAAATGCCCACTTTGTAATTAAATACATTTTATTCTTTTAGGACTATACCTGGGAAAATCATGGGTTCTCCCTGGTGAACAGACTTTATTCTGACATTGGACATCTTCTTGATGAAAAGTTTCGGATGGTCTACAATCTCACATATAACACTATGGCCACCCATGAGGATGTTGACACAACCATGCTGCGCAGAGCTTTATTTAACTACGTTCACTGTATGTTTGGAATCAGGTATGTTCATTGTAGAGACAGTTTTATACATTTCTAAGTGAAAATTCAAGCATAAGTCTTATTTTTGTCTTGTTTGGGGGTATATGACTCTGGGAAAAAAATATTACATGTAGACTTCTGATTTTAAAAATTAATTTCATTTTATGGAGAAGCATTTTTCTTTAAGTGTCATGAATCTTAACATTGATGCACATATAAATACAGTGGTAAAAATTTACTAAGGAGGGAAAAAAGCATCAGTAATCATTGGGGATAGGATAGAATTAGACCAAATCTGAGAATCCTTCCTGGAAGAATAGGTGAGTTTTAAAAAAACAGTTGTTATGTCCCTTTAGATCACTATAATAAATTCTGGTTTGTTTAGTTAATTTGGTCTTTTTAAAACTTATTTTTTAAGGAATGGCAATTACGGTATAAACAAAACTATAGTAGATTGTGCCTTCATAAGCTTACATAACGTCACATAACACTGAAATTAAATATATCGGCCCATATAAATTAATGACCTTTAAATTTAGAAAATTGGCATTGAGAGGACAGTAAGTAAATGAGATTGAATAGTCTAATCAAGAAAGCACTTTTTGAAGAATGTGCCTTTTTGACTTGTGGTTTGAGGCTTTCATGGAAATAGATTAGCAGACAGAAAAAATTTCCAGTTACAAATTATTCAACTTGACTATATATCTGATATATATCAGAAAGACTTTATGATAATTAGAATTTAATCTGTTAAGCAAAGTATTTTCCATAATTTTAGCTAAAGAACCCCAAAATTTACTGATAAATCAACTAATAACATGATGCTCCATGTAATAGATTATGGTTGTATGTAATAACTGAGCTATTTGTCCATTTACCATGCTAGACAATGTTATCAAAGAATCAACACATTTTAAAACACTTATATATCATATCTACCTACCTAAGAAAAATAAACACTAATAGAACTCAATTTAAATGCCATAAATATGTATTGGATACAAGGCAACAAATGTAGTGAGTATATTTATCTGTTGGATGCTACAAAATAAAGCTTACATAAATGCATCGAGATACTCTTTTTATTAAACTAAGCATTATATGGGTTAAAAATTAAATGAAAATATAACAGAGAAATTCCACAAGCTCCCAATACCACATTTACCTACCTGTCTGCATCTGTGCCCATTTACTCTGCTGTCATTACTGTCTATGTTCCTATCCACTTACGCACAAAATCCCATTTCTCATTTTCTAAAGATCTCAATTCTAGCAATACTCCCTTCTCTCTCCAGCATAATCAGCTTTACTCTCTTTATTGGACCTTTCCCGTCAGCATAGAAACACACTTAATTTCTCCCATCTTTAAAGAAAATTTCAGTTTCACCTTTCATTTCCCTCTGGCTACTGCCTCATTTTTCTGCTTTCGTGCAAAGCAAATCTCTAACAAAATTGTGTATATTTACTGTCACTATTTTCTTATCTCCAATTCTCTCTTGAACTTATTCACAGTATCAGGCTTTTGTCCCTATCAACCGACAAAACTGCTCTTACTGAGGTTGCTAGTGACCTCCATATAGCTACTTCCAGTGGTCAGTTCCCAGTTATTATATTTGACTATTTGGCAGCATGGGACTCCGTGATTACTTCCTCTTCCCTGAAACACTTGACTCCTACCTCAAGTCCTTTACACTTGCTTCTTTACCACCATCTGGTATTGTTCAAATATCAACCTTTCAGAGAAGCCTTCCTGCCCACCCTATTTAAAATAACAACTCCTCTCCTCCCAGACCAAGTTCCATTTCCTCTCCATGACAGTTATCATCTGACTACAGTAAGTTTATCTTTTTAATTTTTTTTTCCTTTTTACTTCAACAAAATTTAAGCTCCATGAGACCAAGGATTTTTGTCTATTTTGTTCACTAGTATATCACTACTACTGAGTATCCATGGCACATAATGGGTACTCCGTAAACATTTGTCGATTCAATTAATTAACGAGCTTTTAGTATTTAATTACTAGACAATAAATGTCCTTAGTATAGCTTTGGAAATTAAATATTTGGATTTTGTCGTTATAAAGCTATTGTTGCGTTGCTCATAGGTATGATGACTATGATTATGGAGAAGTTAATCAATTACTTGAAAGAAGCCTGAAGGTTTACATTAAAACAGTGACCTGCTATCCTGAGAGGACTACAAAACGCATGTATGATAGTTACTGGCGGCAGTTCAAACACTCAGAAAAGGTAAGTGTTTCAATGTTAAGCATTATACCAAGGACAGTTCTTCAGTAGAAGTAATAGTTATGAAAAAATAACACATGAAAGTATTAATAAATTATTGCCATTGACATGGAAGTGGCATCATCTAGCTATCTGGGGTTTTTTTGTTTGTTTTTTTGAGATGAGCCTCACTCTTTTGCCCAGGCTGGAGTGCAGTGGTGCAATCTCGGCTCACTGCAACCTCCACCTCCCAGGTTCAAGTAATTCTTCTGCCTTACCCTCCCGAGTAGCTGAGATTACAGGTGCCCGCCACCACGCCTGGCTAATTTTTGTATTTTTGGTAGAGATGGGGTTTCAGCATGTTAGCCAGACTGGTCTCAAAGTCCTGACCTCAGGTGATCCACCCGCCTCGGCCTCCCAAAGTGCTGGGATTACAGGCAGGAGCCACTGCACCCAGCCACTATCTGGGTTTTTAAAATATTTTTTAAATTCAGATTTATTGAATAGTAACCCAATTATGGTTATATGCTGTGTTCAACATAGTGTATAAAATAAAAGTTTATCATGAGCCTTTGAAATACTAGATCTAAGCATTGATATCTTCAAAGTACATTTGGAAAACTGTCTGCAGTCCTAACTGTTAATAAAAATCAGACGTACTGAAATGTTGTGTTAGGTGTAATTGTATTTTGGCCCAGAAGGCACATCCATTTCGAGATTTTTTTAACCACTAGAATTAACCTATTAAGACAATGGTTTCTGCTGAGCACGGTGGCTCACACCTGTAATCCCAGCACTTTGGGAGGCCGAGGCAGGCGGATCACTGGTCAGGAGTTCGAGACCAGCCAGCCCAACATATAGTGAAACCCCTTTTCTACTAAAAAATACAAAAATTTAGCTGGGCATGGTTGCACATGCCTGTAGTCTCAGCTACTTGGGAATCTGAGGCAGGAGAATCGCTTGAACCCAGGAGGCGGAGGTTGCAGTGAGCTGAGATCACTCCACTGCACTCCAGCCTGGGCAACAGAGCAAGACTCCATCTCTCAAAAAAAAGACGATAGATTTTTCCCCAACTTGGTAATTTAGTGTTTTGACAATATAATTCAGGACTTTTGTGCCAAATATACTGTTACATAAAAATATTTATTTGAAAGAAATATATAGGAGACATTAAATTAGAAAACCTAATAAATGTTAAAGCTTTTCACAGGATAAGCATAAACTGTCAAAAAAAAATGAAGGCTGATTTTTAGCCATGTAAAATTTTATAACTAGAAATAAATATAATTTGTAGGAAAATTATAATTTATAAAAATTCGTTTTATTTTATAACCCAAAAGATTGACTTTACAAGAATAACAACTTTAATAAAGCTAATTTTTTAGATTTTATGGGTTACTTTTACTGCTCGCAGAGCCATTTTTTATAGACACAGGTTTGAGTGTTGCATCATGAACATGGATAAATATGCCTAGGGGTGTGTGTGTATATTGCTCATATAGACATTAAAAAACCTTTGTGAATGTCTAATAAGATATTTTAGGTGTTTATAATGGTTACTAAACTGATGACATTTTCACTTCTAGGTTCATGTCAATCTACTTTTAATGGAAGCACGAATGCAAGCTGAACTTCTCTATGCTCTTCGTGCCATAACTCGGCATTTGACCTGAAGTATCACCCAAGGAAAATGTCATACATGTGTAAAGACCTTTCACATAAGATAAATATCAGAAGCTATTTGTGATATAACATCAAAAATTATTCAGTTCTCTAATGTCAAAGTTTAGCCGTTTGTTTTTTGTTTTTGTTTTTTGCGGCTGTAATGTGCAATGATGTGTTTTATTTTCCTTGATGCTTAACATTACTAACAATTGCAAAAATAATACTGAGGAGCACTACTTTGCATTGTTTATAGTTGGAGTTTTGGATACTGATCATAAATCATGAATCTGGCTTATTAATGCTTAACTTCAGCGCTTTTGAGTTGTGTGTATGTGTATTTTTTCTCCCTCCCAACCCCGCCCTTTTTTTTAAGAATAAGGACAAGTGCTTACAATCTGCTCAAGCAATTGTTTTTCAGATGTTGGAATTCAGCAAAGAGTGACCTCTCTGGCCATTCTAAAATTTTAATGTTGTGTCCTAAATCTGGTGGAGGAAAAGCATGCGCTGTTGAACCAAGCTGCTCACTGGACACGTATTTGTGTCCCCAGGAGATTATTTGTCAGGCACTGTTTTTTTTGTTTGTTTGTTCATTTGTTGTTGTTTTACTGCTATTGGCGATAACATGAAATGTGATACAGCCATTGCCCATAATTTAATGTGAAATTAATCATGATGAATTCTATAGCATGCTACTGAAATGCCAAATTCAGCTATTTTCTTTCTCTTCTAAAACAGAAGTTTCAGTTTTCCATATCAGATGTATATATTATAAGTGGAATTATACACAATCCTATCACTGACAGTAATCCTCAGTCACCTTAAATAATCAGTGCTCACAGTGCTGCTTACAGTTCATTTACTTGGCACATATAAACCTATACCCACACATGACTGACCAAAAATTTTCTTTGCACATTTTTCCTTTCTCATAGTCTTTTCCTATATTTCGTTAAGCAAAGGAAGGTTAATATGCCTATTTTTTTCCTGGTAGGCTTTTAGAAATTATTTTCCATGACTTTTGTTCTTATAATAGGTTAGACAGTTTATTATTCAAAGGTAAAAATTGTGTTTCTATGCATTAATGTGATTGAACAACAAAAACAGAGTGCAATATGTTCAAAAAATACTCAACTGAACGTTTCCCCGTCATATCACTGCAAAAGTGTCCTTTTCAACAGAGCCATAAAGAAATTTTTTTCAAATTTCTTTATTGCACAGGCTTTTTTCAGTTTTACCTTACTGGGATTGAACAATGTTCCTTTCATAATGCCAAAGCATTCCCTTCCCCAGAAAAATCTCCTTGGACAACTGGTTTAAAAAAGTTATCAAGTCATAGGGGAGGAATAAGCGGCCAAAAAGTCACATTTTTGCATTGGTTTACGTTGCTTGCTTGATTAGACTGTCTTCAGAGAGCACAACATTATGTGTTTATAGCTTTAATTTGTATTATGTCAACGAACCAGTGAAGTGCCTAAAGAGATGCTTACAACTATCCAGTAGGACACAACTGCACTGCTTTTTAAACACTTTTTGGTTAGTTAAGGGTGACTTGAATTGTACACATACATGCTAATTTTTGAAAACATATCCATTTTTCACAGTAAATAATATAGATACAATTTTCTGTTAGTTCCAGCAAAGATTTCATTTTAGACTTTGTGATATAAGATTTAACTTTTCTTTTGTGAAAGAATCGTGAACTAGTGTTTCATTAAATCATTTTCCTCTTCCATTTATCATCCTCTTCTGGTACAATATATTGGGTTGCTTTCTTTTAGATTTTGTTCCAGATAGGAAAACAAATATGACTGTACACTTATTAACATAAAGTAGTTCTGCATTTTTGGATTCCAGGATCCTGTTTGAAATCTTCCATGTGAGGAAAAAATTACTAATATTTTTGAAGACAGGGTGGTTTAAAGAGATTATTCAGAGAACTTGTGCCATATCTCTTCTGTTTTATTGCATATGCCATATGTTTTATTCAATATTACATTATGTAGATATGTAATACAAAGAAAATATTTAGGAGAATGGCAAAACACAAATGGCAACATAAATGTCCATTTGACTTCCCTAACTTTACAACTTTCAAGTTGAGGATGTCTTTTATTCTTGAATTTGTTTTTTTACCAGATGCTTTCAATTAATAGCCCTATATTTTTGTGCAGGTGAACTGTATAACAGGATAAAAAATGATTTGTATGTATTGAAAGGAGGAGAAATTCTCACAGAACATCATATGAGCTTTAGACCAAAAGGGGAAACAAGGTTTAAGTAACTAAAATGGCCACTTAGTTTTTGTTTATTTTTTTCCCTGGAAATGTAAGTAGTTGGAGTCTAGGCTATGGAAATATTAGTGCCTTTAATAGATCTCTTTCCTTGCAAAGTTTCTTTTTAGCTCAGCATTGATCTATTTCATCAATAGTCAGGAAAATAAGTTGACTTGGAACTATAAACAAAAACAAAACATTTATTAACCTCAGTGAACCAGCCTAGAAAAATTGACATCTGCAGGTGCTAAAGCACCTACTAATACGCAGCATGCACAGCATTTCAGGTTGTGAATACCGTTTTACAACGAGTTTGCTGTTAATTCTCTTTATCCAATGCAAACTTGAAATTCCGATGCGGTTTTCCAGGGTGGTATTTTTTCAGAGTATTGAATTTACTATTTAGTAATTTATAGTATAGCTTTTTATATTAAAATGTGATATTTTTAAAAGAGATGTCTGGTTCAATTGGTATAATGATGTGATTATGCAATATGCTGATCTACACCTTGCACTCACATTGTGCCAAACTTAAATGTGCAAGTGTACGTGAGAAAAGCACATGTGAATGTGAATTCTTTAATTCTTTGCTTATTATGTTAAAATTAGTCTTAATAGTCCACTGATGTGTATGCTTGAATAATGTCTATTTACTTTGGAATTTCAAGATTTCCAGCTTCAATGGTAATTTGTAATTTTTCAGATCACCTCAAGAAATATTGAGATACTCCCCCATCTGAAAATAATCTGTTCTTTAACCCACCTGACTATGGGAGTAGCCAGGCTGGTGCCTCACTGGCTTCTTCAGATGAGGCTTCCTCAGGTGGATGCATGACCATTAGGGGAAAAGAGGCTTTTGAGACAGCTTATTACCTCCTTCACCTTTTTGAACTAAGTACATTGTCTCAGTCCCAGTATGAATTTGTCCCATTTGGGGTATTTTTAAAATAAAAGATGGCTAACATGGAATCTGGGGCATAGCCTTGGCCTTTAATTATGGTTGTAAGCCCAAATAATGGCAGAGAAACACAGGGCTGTTTTTACAACAGAAAACTCAATATAAGTTTTATGTAGGAATCCTATAAAATTTGAACCAGGTCTCCTATTTAATTATTATAATGTCTCCTAAAGATTTTAAATGCTCCTAAATGCTAATTATTATTCCAGAGCGACTTTCTCCTTTTCCTCATTATAAAGTTATTTTAAAATCCAAAATCTTAGTTTTCTGTGCCACAGCAAAATAAAACGATCAACAAACAATTAAAGATCTGTACTTAAAATAGTTCACCATTTTTAGTGGAGGGAGGGTACATGCCTATTTGATGGTAAGATTCTTTTGAACTCTAAGGACAATTCCTTATGGAAAAAATAAATTACAGTGCATGTTATAAAAATGATTTGCACTGTGTTAGCAAAATAAGGTGTTTTAGGTTGTATTTTAAAGACAATTCTAAATCATTTCTCTGGAAAACAAGACCTTAAATTCTTGTCTTTAATAGGACTGCTTTTATGCAAAGAGATAGTCTTACATGGAGTAAACAGTATATAAAATAATGTTATGTAAATAGTATGTCACATTTGCTTAGTAGTACAATTCCACAGCAAACTGAAAGTTGTGGCTCCTCTGCTCAGATTGAATTTTAAGTTACCTAATATGTGTAATCAGAATCTATTCTAGGTAGCTGTCAACATAAACTGTGTTTCCCTATTATATCCCTCTGGAGACTGAGAATCAAATTAAATAGTCTTTCTTCAAAACAGTACTGTAACATGAATGTATTTATCTCAGTCAACAGAACTTATATGCCCACTGTATGTGGAGCTTATTTCAGTGTTAATTTGGCTTGGTTAACAGATCTAGAATCTGCCCAGGTGAGACCTAGAACTTAAAAATAGCTGGGGTGAAATGGATAATAGAGGTAGAGGTATATGTCAAGGCAGAGCCCTATGAGGAAGGAAAAGTTTTCAAAGAATACAAGGAACATAGTGCTGAGAGCGTGGCTGCCCTCAGCATCGTACACCTAATCTAGAGAAAATATTTCCCATGTGGGAGCTCCTATCTGCATTCAGTTCACCCTTTCCTGCCTGCTTCTTCTTCCTCCAAGTGCCTCAACCTCTACATGCTTACTCCCCTCCCCTTCCCTCAGCCCATCCTGGTCTAAGCAGCTTTCACAATCCAAACCAAACATCACCAGCCACCTGCTGATAAGTCACCAGCATTTACTTTCCTGAGTTACTTTTTCTGCATTCATTGAGACTATGGATTCATCCCAACTCCTTCTAAATCCCTCAACCATCCAGCTATACTTTGACTAACCTTTGCCCTAGACACTCTACCAGATGTTATGCAGTATCGAGTGTAAATTTTGTCACCCTATTCTGTTCTGCCCTTTTCCCAGCTGCCGAAATACCTTGCTCTCCTCTACCTCATCCCCAAAGAGCCTATAAATTCAGAGTATCCAACCTTTTCATGGATTCACTCACTGTTGTTCAGTAATACAACTTCCATATTTTAAATAAATCATAAAAGATATTTGCCTTCTATCAAAGTAGGAATCTTTATATTTATACATGATACAGAAATTGAACTATTTCTATCGTTCAGAATTTAACATATAGCAGGATTTTAAAGTGATTGAATTGCCATCCTAACTTGGATTTGCATTAGGTTATGAATACTGTTGTTAGTCCAAGCTATTTGAATGTAAAGTTAAAATTCTCCAGCAATCCAGAATGACTTGTTACCCTTCAGTGGAATGGGAAATTTCTGGCATGCAAATAGGGTGGTGTTCCAGACATTTGTTTTATTGGTGGTGTTTGGGCCGTGAAACACATTTCTAATAGAAGGACATACGGCAAAGGGTATTTAGATGGTCCCATGGGATCACAGAAGCCCATTTGATTTATAATATAATAAAATAACACAAAATTGGGTACATAAGGGTTTAACCAGGCTTTCCTGGGTTAGACTAAGCCTCTAACCTCTGTTGCTATCCTATTCTTATGGGAGGAAAAAAATGTTCTATGGGATGA